GGGGCGGGCCAGCCCGGCGGGCTCAGCCCATTTTGCCGGCCCTATCCAAAATTTCATGTAACAGGCCAAACCCATATTAATTCTCCAACCTTATCCTCTACCTACTTGGGCCTATTCTTCAATTATAGCTTAAAAATCATATAAAAAAATTCTAAACCCAAGACCTATTAACCCATCAACATTGAACAAGCTAAAAGAGTGAAGTATGAAAGAGAAAGATGATAACCTATTATGAATTTCCCAACCTTACCCTGTACCTTGTTTTAGTTTTTTAATTGTCTGTTACTCTATTATAAATCTTCATGAGTTTTAAAACTTGTTTTAGTATGAAGACTTAAATTTTCTAGTAGTTTGTAACTTTGTATGACTTCATTTTGATATAACTAGTGATTTTGTATGTAGGGGTGTTAATGGGCCAGGCTAGGCTGAGCTTTGGCTTGAAAGGCTAAGCTCGTGTTTAAATGTGTCATATTGGTCTAGCCTGTAACCTGTTATGAATATAATTATTAGTTTGTGGCCTGACTTATTTACAAAAAATAAAAGCCTAGCTTAGCTTGTTAAAAAAAATTAGACAATAAAAACTTATTCGAACGGAATATACAATCAACAACATTAATAATTTCACAAACATTTATAGATTCAATGTATATCCAAACAACATAATATAGAACAAAATCATTCAAAAAGTTTGCTTAACCAATAAACTAAAGCAGTACAAAATTCTGCATATCCAAAGGAACAAAAGACTACAAATTCTGCGTTAACAATTTAATATACTCATATCAATAATTTAATATATTGCGATGTTGCCTCCTAAAAGTCAGATTATTTCTGACATTAAATTATAATATCATAAGATGTAAAATAATTTAAATTAAATAAATTAATACCTTATATTTTTTCTTTATGCCATACTTATTACGTAATCAATCTGCACCGTAAATTAATGCTTGAACCGAATTTTCAACCAAACTTGTCCGATAAGTATCAATGACTATTTCTCCAACACTAAATGTTGATTCTGATGCGACTGAAAGGACTGATACTGATACTACTAATATATCTTTTGTCATCTTTGATAAAATCTTATACTTCATGCTATTGCCCTTCCACCATTCCAAGGCATCAAATGAAAGATGAGAATTATCCTCACTTATATAAACATTCTCTTAAAGATAACACTTCAGGTCTGACTTAACTGAATGAGTAGGTTCTCTTGCACGTAACATTCTATAGCACCTAACAATTTTCTAGAAGAAGATCAGTTAGGGTTCACCAACCACCAACCTTCTCCTTCAGTGAGCCTTTCTCCTCTATTGCAGTTGTGCTGGTTTGGTGTGGACTCCAGCGGTGTAGAGAGAGAGATATGAAGAGAGGAGATAAAGAGAAGTGAGGGAGAAAAAGTAAAATGATGACGGACCAAGAAGAGGAAGTGAAAATTGGGTTAGGTTTAATAATTGAATAGTATAAAAAATATAAAATAAAAATAAGAGTTAGTATACCAGGTTATCCTGATAGGCTCTAAGGCCAGACTTTTGAATTGGAGCCATGACCTTTTTATTAAATGAGCTTTTACACAACTCCAAGTCTATATCCAACAACCAAAATAGACAGGCTAAGCCAGGCCAAAGGCCCCTGACTCTTTTAACACCCCTATTTGTATGGCTGAAATTTTAGGCTTTTTAAATAACGGAAAACCAATCCAATCAAAATGAATAAAATTGGATTGGATTTGATCAAATTTGAAAAGAATCTAAACCGAAGGAATTAGATCATATGATTTTTGCTTCAAAAATCCAATCCAGATAGCGAACACCCCTAATAGCAATTTTATTTTTATTTTTCAAATAAAGAACCGATCTTAACTGTGTTAAGATATATATTTGGAGTGGTGGTAACTAGGGGTGTAAATGAGTTGGGTTGAGTTAGGTTTTGGCTTAAATAAGTCAGACTTGTGTAAAATACTTTAGACATGAGCTGGTCTATTAGCTTTGTGTATGACCCAATTATAAGTCTGACCTTATCTATATTTAAAAAAAATAAAAGGTTTGGTTTAGACCTTATAGTCTGTTTAAGCCTATTAGGCATTCAATAATTAAAAAAATAATTAAAATGATATTACTTTATTATTCAATAATTTATTTATTTTATTTAAATAATAATATGATATTATTTCAATTTAACCAGTGATATCGACTTCAAGTCCTAGCTATGCAGCTGTAATAAAAATTTGATAGGGAGAACTTTTTTGCCCTAGCAGTCCTCCCCAACTCGACCAGATTACTCGATTGATTAATCGATGGAGAAATTTATAAAAAAGAGAACAAGAGAGAAACACATTGACTAAATTCGATGACTATCAAACAACTAATTAAAGCAATATCACTCTTTGAATCTCATTCTCCAAAATAGGAGAGGGATATCGAACTCATTTAGGTCGAGCTCTTAGGCTTTTTATTGACAAAAGCCGAATATAATTTATTTGGCTAGTTTAAAATTTTTGTTATAGATGAAAAGCCAAACTCTCACATCTGTCACCGTGATTCATGATGGACTCCACCATTTGATGGGTGCCTTAATCTCTTGTTTGTAAGAGATGCTTAGTAAAGATGTGCAAAAGAAACACAAAAAAAACGAACTGTGAACTGCACTTAAAAAAATTAGTTTTTAAAAATCAATTCTTCAACTGAACTACTTTTGAAAAACCAATTATTAAATTGAATTATTTTTAAAAAATCAGTTCATGAACTGAACTAATTTATGAACCGAATTGGTTTTCAAAACTAGTTTATAAATTTAAAAAACGATGAACTGAATTTATTTTTTTTCTCTTTTTTTTACTTATCTTTTTTCTCTCTATTTTTCTTCCTTATTTATTTTCTTCTTTCTTTTATCTTTATTTTTATTACTTTGTTTCTTTAGTTTTTTAAATTTATTATTTTTTCTTTTTTCTCTTATTTTTTTTAAATTTATGGTATTATTTATGTTTTTTTCTCTCAATATTTTTATACTTTTCATTTGATTTTAGAAACCAGTTTTAGGAGTGTGCTAAAGAACCACAAAAAATACTACACTTAAAAAAACAAATTTTAAAAAATCTGTTTTTGAACCCGTTTTAAAAACTAGTTCTTAAACTGAAAATCAGTTCATGAACTGAATCACTTTTTCTCTTCTTTTCATTTATTTTTTCTTTTTCTCTCTCTATTTCTCTTCTCTTATTTATTATTTTTTATTTCTTTATTTATTTATGTTTTTTTTAATTTTTAGTATCGTTTACATTTTTTTATTTTTTTCTTCATTTTTTTGTAATTTTTATTTAGATTCAGAATTGATTTTAAAAATCAATTATGAACCAATTTAAAACCAGTTTAAAACTGGTTTTGAGCTGAACCGGTTATGAACCGTTCAGAAACTGAACTAATAAATTAATTCAATTCTTAGAATTGAATTATCTTTTCTTTTTTTTTTGGAAATTGAACCGGATTGTTTTGACAAAAATAAACTGGCAACCCGAATTAACTAGAAAAAAATCAAGCCAACTCGCGAGTAAGTTTGTGTTTGGGTCAGCTGCCACTTTCTTTCTTCTTTCTATGCAGTTCATTGATAGGGTTGTTTTTGTACCATATTCCAACATAGCGGTTTGAGGAATTACTTGGATTGAAGAAACCGGGTCAGCTGCCACTTTCTTTCTTCTTTCTCTGCAGTTCATTGATAGGGTTGTTTTTGTACCATATTCCAACATAGCAGTTTGAGGAATTACTTGGATTGAAGAAACCCAACTCAAAGATTCCATCCTTAGAAACCAAGGTGCTTCCATTGTCAGGAAGTGACTGAAACTGGGTAATGGTACGAGCTGCATAGGTAATGTGAAAGAAGAAAAAGAGTAGCAGCATAACAGGAAGAATGGCCAACTTGTGTTAACTAGCCGCAGAAGTTGAGGATATACATGGAAATTAGGTAGAGGCGTTGGAATAACTTAAATGCGAAGGGTACTGTTGTTCGACGTCTCTAACTTGGTCTCTCTAACCTTGGAATTGCATCACGTGTCAACAACATCTCATATATTTCCAAAGAGCATTCCGTTAAACATACACTATCGTTTATTTATTACATGCCAATGAGGAAATAGAGAACGAACTGCAGCATTTATAGTTTCAACCCGCGAGACATTTTTTCCAAGCCAACTCCCGCAAATTATTTTTCGAGCCAACCGTGGGTTAACTCTAATCTAACTCAGGTCAGATTGAATTCGATTTTTTGGGTTTGTGTTTTTTTTTTTTTGTGTCAATTTTAATCTGGTTCATTTTTTTTGGGTTGCAAATAAATTGAGTCTAGTCGAGCCATTTCGCGAACTGGTGAAAATAGAATCTCAATCTATATCTTAAATTTCTGGCAGTATTTTGACATGGTTCATATAAAAAACAAAATATAAATCGCACGGGTCAAAGCACCCCAGAAATCATAAATCATATCCATTCATTAAATCACTCGTTGTTCGTTTCTCTCAATTAAAGAATTTTTTAAAGTGATCCGGAACTATTTTTATAGGGTGATCCCTTTTTTATTTTTGAAAAAATGTGCTTTCCTTTCTATCCCTTTTTAAAAATCCCCCCCAAATCCTTTATTAATACCACTTGCTACTTTTGGAATCCTTATCCTTTATTACTTTTGGAATGGGACCATGTAAGGGGACCTAAAAGTAAAACAAACCTCCTCAATTAATATCCACAGCGGCAGTCTTCATCCACGCAATGCGATTGGAGGAGATAACATCTCATGTGTCTTTTTCCCATCAGCATGTAAACAAATGAGATTATATCACGGAACTTTGTCGTTCCTTAAATGGCAAGATGATAAATGCTATCATCCATTCTAATTTTTCTTGTATACATTCACCACACAGTTTCAGATTCCTCCCAGTAAAGTGTGCTATAAAGTGCAGAAAAGAAAACATTCCAAGTTCGTAAGCGGTATCCTCCTCATCATATAGTTGGTCATAAAGGACAATGGTGTCACTACTTCTTCTTCTTCTATGTCTAACTCTTCCTCTGCTTCTATTGTTCTTCTTCCACAAACATAAAACCATTAACAATCCACCCCTTCCACCTGGTCCTAGAGGCCTTCCAATAATCGGTAATCTTCATCAACTAGACAACTCTGTTCTTTATCTCCAACTATCGACCCTCTCAAAGATATATGGTCCCTTATTCTCACTTCAACTCGGTTCAAGGCCAGCTATTGTTGTTTCATCACCTGAAATTGCAAAAAAGGTACTCAAAAACAATGACCTTGTGTTTTCTAATCGACCTAAATTACTTGGCCAACAGAAATTGTCCTATAATGGGTTAGAGGTTGTATTTTCCCCATACAATGATTATTGGAGAGAAATAAGAAAAATTTGTGTTGTCCATATCTTTAGCTCTAAGCGTGTCTCATGTTTTTATTCTACAAGAGAGTTTGAGGTCAAGCAAATGATCAAAAAGATATCAGGGCATGCTTCTTCTTCTGTTGTTACAAACTTGAGTGAGTTACTCATTTCTCTTTCAAACAGTATAATATGTAGAATTGCTTTTGGGAGAAGGTATGTGGATGAAGGATCTGAAACGAAAAGGTTCCATAGGCTGCTTAGTGAGTTTGAGGCCATGATGGTAACTTTCTTTGTTTCGGACTATATTCCATTCATGGGTTGGATTGATGAACTCACAGGATTGAATGCACGTCTTGAACGAATTTTCAAGGAGTTTGATAAGTTTTATCAAGAGGTCATTGATGAACACTTGGATCCAAATACACAGCGCACAGAGGAACATGATATAGTTGATGTCTTGCTTCAATTGAAGAAACAAAGTTCGTTTTCAATTGATCTCACTTATGAACACATCAAAGGGGTCCTCATGGTATGGTATCTTAATTCTTTTTACTTTCTTTCATTCCTTTTAATTTTCATCCTGTTTTTTTGTTGACATTTTCATTTTCTTTATTACAATATATACAAAATCAATTTAATTGGCAGCAAACTTTAATTAAAGCCACTTAACATCCTGGAACCAACATCATGTTCGTCTAACTAATTAATTGGTTGTACCAACTGGTTTGGTTCACAGTTTACATATTTTCTCAATGCATGCAATAATTTTCTCTTGTAGTCAATGATCTTATAGATGTTAATCAACAAAACTCTAGAATAATAACTCTTCCTAAGCATTTAGACAGTTGAGTAGAAGTGTATCAATATTTTTTTTTTTTATATAAAAAGTTTTGGTAAGGTGAGATGTCACTCTCCCTCTATCTCACGTCCAATGAGGTTCTCACATTAGCTGGTGGGTGCTATTGACCCATACGAGTTTGATTCTTTACCAATTGCGTCCACCGTTGTTGGCTCTTTTTTATTTTTTTGGTACACTCTTCATATCATATATTTTCAATCTCTAACATATAGGAACCTTCTAGATTCCAGGAGTGGACAAAACCAAAGGTCCATTACTAATATGTTGCAATTCAATGGGGAAAGAAATCAATTCATATTTAAGAAATGATTAAGACTTCAATTTTTGTTTTTACTATCTTCCTTACAAACTGATTTTTGCATGAGAGCTTTATATTGGTACACAGTAGTGCAGATTTTATAATGTTCCACAATTGATTTGTTATCCAAAAAGAAAAGTCCTTTCACAAAATCTATTTTCAACCAGTACTTATAAACTGCTGATTTTTTCTACAGGACTTGCTTGTAGCAGCAACGGATACCACTTCAGCCACATCAATTTGGGCTATGACGGCCCTAATAAAAAACCCAAGAGTAATGAAGAAAGTTCAAGAAGAAATTAGGAACTTGGGAGGTAAAAAAGATTTCTTAGATGAAGATGATGTTCAAAAGTTTCCCTACTTGAAGGCAGTGATAAAAGAGACATTGAGATTGCACCCACCAAACCCACTACTTGTGCCAAGAGAATCAAGTGAAAAATGCATTATAGATGGCTATCACATTCCAGCCAAGACAGTAGTGTATGTGAATGCTTGGGCTATTCATAGAGACCCTGAGGCTTGGAAAGACCCAGAAGAGTTTTATCCTGAGAGATTCTTAGACAGTGCTATAGATTTTAGGGGTCAAGATTTTGAACTAATTCCTTTTGGAGCAGGTCGTAGAATTTGCCCAGGTTTGCCTATGGGGGTTGCTACATTGGAACTTATCCTAGCTAATCTTCTTAATTCCTTTGGTTGGGAATTGCCACGAGGGTTGGTAAAGGAAGACATAGATACTGAAGTGTTGCCAGGAATTACCCAACACAAGAAGAATCCTCTCTGCCTTTCTGCCAAGAGCCGGATGGACTGAAAAGTAACATAATGTTTGTTCCATCATTGTGGGAGTGGTTATGATAAAGCAAAATACCATGTGTCTAGTATAATGAATAAAAAAGGTGATTTGGTTCCGGCAAACTGAACCAATAAAATTGGTTCGGTTCTTAAATGGGTGTGGAGAAAATAATTTGGTTCTTAAGCCACTTTGGAAAAATGTGATTCGGGTCAATTATGTCCATTTTTTTTTCACACTCCTAAGATTATTAATGGTTTGGTTCGGTTCGGTTTATAGTCCGAATTGAATTGAATAGCTGAAGTGAATTGATAATGGTTTTTTTCCCCAATCTTCACTTGAATGACTTAACTCATCTCCTAAGCAATTTCCAATTTGAAACTCTTAAACAATCATCCTAATTAGGTATAACCCAATCCCTTGGTGTTCTAGAACCAGCGTTGAGGAACAGGATATAGTGGATGTTTTTCTTCAATTGAAGAAACAACGTTCCTTTTCAATTGATATCACTTATGATCACATCAAAGGGGTCCTCGTGGTATGTGTCTAAATTCAATTTTTTTTTCATTCCTTTAATTATTATATAGATGAAAGAACTTATTATATTGATGTTAATTATTAAAACACTAGAACAATCATTCTTCCTAAGCATTTAGAGGGTTAATTAAGTAGAGTAACATTGAGTAAACAAATCCAATTAAAGCTCGTTGCTACTGTGTTGGGCAGCAGATCAGGGGGAATTCATCTCAGGAGTTCATCACCAATGGATTAACGTACACCAATCACATTAAGTGTGTCCCACACTATATATTAACTCGAAACCTTAAGACATTGAGTCCTTCCACTTATATATACTTAGTCTATTGTCCATCACATTTAAATATCCCAACAACCTCCTCTTAAGTGTGAAAATCACATTGATTATTCTCCCTCTGAGCGGAAGTCTCTCCAAGTACCCCAAACTCAAGTACTCAACACACCGACTGTAGCAAGCTCGAGCCAAACCTTGGCTCTAATACCACTGTCAAGCGAGCCAAGGGGAGCCCATGACAGGAGATCATCATCAATGAGCTAAACTACACCAACTGTAGCAAGTGAGTTTGACACCATGTCTCAGTCTAAAAATTTTAAGTATTAGATTTACTAATCCTCTCATTTGATCTCCACTTAACCCGTCACCAATCAATGTATTATCCCTTCACACTTGAATATCGAATATACTATGCGCCAATTCCACTATATTTTAGTAGCTTGGAAAACAAATCAATCCCTTCAAGGAATTGAAGACTTCAACTTTAGTTGTTACCTGGTCTATTTTTTATTTTTATTTTTATTTTTATTTGGTATACTTTTATTAGTATTTACAAAGTGTTACTTTGAAACTATTTTGATCCTCTCTTTTTTAAGCTAGTAGCTACTTTTAAGCTAAACCTAAAAAAAGGCTTAAAAAAAACTAAAAGTTATTTAGTGATTGCATAAAAAATTTAGAAGTTAGTTAAAAGCACAAGTTTCAAAAAAAAACTTTTCTCTCTATCTCTATGCTTTTCATTTCAAAAAAAGCACACAATTCAAGAAAAGTTGATAAAAAAAGCTCCTCCCAGGAGCTTTTGCCTTTTTTTTTTCATTATAAAAAAAATTTCATTATAAGAACTTTTCTCAAAACTTGTTTGGCTTAACTTCTCTTTATAAGGAGAAGAGAAGTAAAAAATAAGAGGAACCAAACATGCACTTTATTTTTAATTTTTTTCTTGTTTTCAAGAATATGTAAATAATTAAAGCACTTATTCTTACCATCTATTTTACAAAATATTAAAAATAGGAAACAAAAATGAGAACAAGTGATATTATTATAATTATTTAATTACTAATAAAAACATGTCAATAGAAAATGAGAATAAAAACAAACCAAAATCATTTTATTATTCTTACAAACTAATTTTCGCAATAGAGCTTTCTATTGGATGCAAATATATAATGTGCTGCAGCTGATATTGTTACCTTAAAAAGGCCCATAAAGGGTGATTTTCTTGATATACAGGACCTGCTTATAGCAGCAACGGATACCACTGCAGTCACATCAGTTTGGGCTATGACGACCCTCATTAAAAGCCCAAGAGTAATGAAGAGAGTTCAAGAAGAAATTAGGAACTTGGGAGGTAAAAAAGATTTCTTAGATGAAGATGATATTCAAAAAAATTCGTATTTGAAGGCAGTGATAAAAGAGACATTAAGATTACACCTACCAACCCCACTACTTGTGCCAAGAGAATCAAGTAAAAAATGCATTATAGATGGCTATCAAATTCCAGCCAAGACATTAGTGTATGTGAATGCTTGGGCTATTCATAGAGACCCTAAGGCTTGGAAGGACCCAGAAGCGTTTTATCCTGAGAGATTCTTAGACAGTGCTATAGATTTTAGGGGACAATATTTTGAACTAATTTCTTTTAGAGAAGGTCGCAGAATTTGCCTAGGTTTGCCTATGGGGGTTGCTACATTGGAACTTATCCTAGCTAATCTTCTTAATTCCTTTGATTGGGAATTGCCAAAAGGGTTGGTAAAGGAAGACATAGATACTGAAGTGTTGTCAGGAATTACCCAACACAAGAAGAATCCTCTTTGCCTTTCTGCCAAGTGATAAATGGACAAGGAATCAACATATTAATGTTTGTTGCATAATTGTGGCAGTGGTTATGATAAAGCAAAATTCCAAGTGTCTAGCATAATGAATAAAAAAGGTGATTTGGTTCCGGCAAACGGAACCAATAAAATTGGTTCAGTTCTTAAATTGGTGTGGAGAAAATAATTTGGTTCTTAAGTCATTTTGGAAAAATGTGGTTCAGGTTTATTTTGTAGTTCAATTATGTCCATTTAATTTTCACACTCATGAGAGTATGTATGATTTGGTTCGGTTCAATTTATAACCCGAATTGAATTGAATTGGTGAAGTGGTTCAATAATCGATTTTGAAAAAATGTTCGATTTTTGAACAAGTTAAATTTATGAGTAAATATCCAAATTGGTCCCTAACAAAAAACAACACCCATGTTAGTCCTTTTGTTAGTCCCAAACACACGACGTCATTGACGGAGCTGACGTGTAACGTTAATGGGCATGGTCACTGCCACGTTGGAGGGGAAACGACGTCTTCTGAAGAATCTTGCTTCCACGTTGCTCAAAATAACAACGAGAAACCCAAAATTTCCCCTCACCTTACCGCTGTTCACTTTACCATTTCCCACTCTTGAAAGTTTGACGCTCCATTGTTGAGAAGGAAGAAGATCGTTCTGTCAACATTTCCCTGCGTTTTGATTCTACAGTTGTTCAACAATCGGTGGAAAGTGGAGGAAGAAATACCCTTGGTTTGGTGCGAGGCTCATCGTTCAGTACAAAAAAGGTAAGAGACTGGAAGTATTTTCGAACACTTTTTATTGTAATTGCTATTTGTTGTCTGAGGTCCCCATGGAGTTTTTTTTGTTTAATGCGTGTTTCTTTTCTGCATGCTCATTGGACAATGTGGTCCATGTTTCACTTTAGGGTTTAGAGTAAACAAATGCCTACCGGATATGGTGTGGTCCCTGTATGAGCAAAGTGGTCCATGGTTGACCCATGAACAGTTAAAAACCAAATAAAAAATCACATGTTCCATTTGTCTGTTTGTTTATTGGTTTTAATTGTTTAAGTGGTCCGTCCACATGTCTTGCCTTTGTTTTATGAGTAGGTACCCATTTTTTTTTTGTAGTCATTGGATTAATGAAAGCTACATTTTTTTTGGGTTTGTACATATGTCTGAATTTATAGTGATTTTTATCATCATGGTGGTATTTTAATAAGAGATGAAAATGAAGTGTTCACCTATGTAAATGGGAGAGTGGACTCACTGCCTAAGATGGACATTGATTATTGCAATTTGCGTGACCTTGACACTCTGTTTAAGCAATTTGGGTATGAAAAATGCAAAATGATGATGTGGCTAAAGCATGTTGAACCCGATTTGGAACAAGGCCTCAGACCACTTAGCACCGATTCTGATGTATGCGCCATGTATGAGGCTGCTTTAAGTAATGGCAATGAGATACATGTATATTTTGAAGACTGCATTTCAATTCCTCAGTTTGGTTCACCTGAACATGACAGTGTAGAGGATAATGTGGTTAATTCCACATATAATGAGGACCATGCACAAGATGATGATGAGGTGAATTCAGATCATGAGATTTCACATGATCATGGGGTTAATTCGGATCAGGAGATTCCACATAGTGATGGGGTGAATCATGAGCAAAAGAGTGAAGAGGATGGTGGTAATTCATCCGAACATGACAATGCCGATGATGAGGTTGCTTCCTCAGATTCAGATTCATATGAGAGTGCAAAGGATGAGGCATACAAGCCCCCCCAGGTGTTGAGGACAATTAAGATGATGAAGATGAACAGACTGTACCATTGGTGAGAAAAAAAGGCTTGCAAAATAAACCCCAAGGAAGAAGGCATACAAGAAGGATGCCAGCAATAAAAACTCTGAATCTGAAGAAGTTGATGAAGAGGAAGACCTAATGTAATTTGAAGAAGAAGGATATACCTATCTTTCTGAGAAATTAAGGAGTCCTCCTTCAAGTGATGATGATGAAAATGTTAGACCTGTATTGCTAAAGTTTAATGAACAAACTTCTTTTGGGCATGTCTATTTAGAACTAGGCATGGAGTTTCTGAATTTGGAGCAATTTAAATGTGAAGTGAAAGACTATGATATTAGTCTTGGGAGGCAGTTTATCTGGGTTAAGAATGACAAGGTCAGAGTAAGGGCCAAATACAGTATTGAAGACTGTGAATGGATGCTGTATTGTTCCTGGAATACCAAGCTGAGCACATTCCAAATAAAAAAATTTAACGAGACTCACACATGCTGCAGAGTTTTCCAGAATAAAAAGGCTTCTCAAGATTGGGCGGCCAAGAAATTAGAGAAGAGGATATTGACACAGCCTAAGATGTCAAGGTCAGAGGCATTTGAACACATGAAGGAGAAATACAATGTTCACTTAAATCTGAAGAAAGTAAGCAAGGCTCTAAAAAAAGCCAAAGGCACCATTGAAGGTTATGAGAAGGAACAATATGGTAAACTAAGGGAATATTTTGCAGAGCTATTGAGAAGCAACCCTGGATGCACTTGCCAAATACAAGTGACCCCCAACCTATTCCACAAGCACTGCCAATATTTGACAGAATGTACATTTGCCTTGATGCTTGTAAGAAGGGATTCAAAGCTAGTTGTAGACTTGTAATTAGATTGGGCGGTTGCCTTTTGAAGGGCTACTATGGGGGTCAATTATTGAGTGCTGTGGACGAGGATGCAAACAAGCAATTTTATGTAATTGCTTATGCCGTGGTTGATAGTGAGACAAAGGATAACTAGAAGTGGTTTTTGACCTTATTGAAAAAATACTTAGGGGATCATGGAGTTTATGGTTGGAAATTCACATCATATCAACAAAAGGTAGCACTTTATGGCTTAAGAATTTATTTATTTGTTTAAAATTATTGTGTCCAGACTGTAGTATAACAATCTGTTTCATTTTCACATACAGGGTCTGGTTCCAGCTTTGAAGGAGATTATGCCAGGTTCACATCATAGGTTCTATGTCCAACATGTGTGGAAGAACTTCATCAAGTAATGGAAGGATAAAGAGACAAGGAGAATTGTGTGGGAATGTGCTAGATGCACTACTTTTCTCAATTATCATAAGGTTATGCAAAGGTTGAAGACCTTAAATGAACCAGCTTGGAAGTATCTTGACAATATAGATCCTTCTTGTTGGGTTAAAGCATACTACAGTCACTGGCCTAAATGTGACAAACATTACAAACAACACGGCCGCGGTGTGGAATTCAAAGATTGTGAATTACAGGTCCAAACCTATAATGACTTTGTGTGAGGAATTGAGATGTTACATAATGCGAAAGATGATAGCACATAAGAGGATTCTGTAAACATTCAGGGGCAAGATTGCACATGCACAGCAGAAGAGGCTCGACCAGTTGAAGGTTTCCAGCAATTCTTGGACACCTACATGGATTGAAAATGTAAGAACCCGCACCGTTAATTAAGGGATTTAATTAATTAATTATGTGAATTTAGGAAATAATTCCATAATTGACCCTAATAATTATTATGAGGCTTTAATAATTATAATTAGTGAGTAAGAATGCTGAAAGTCGCTTTTCGGGAGAAAAGTGCAGATACCGGTTCTGCTAGTCCGTATAAATGTGTACCGAAAAAGTATCCCGAAAAATTATAATAAGTGCATGATAATTACTAAAATAATATGTAGGACTTGTAAAACGAGTTTCAAGTCCAAATAATGAGAACTGGTGCTAGAAACCGGTACTGGCTTTTGAAAATTGCGTACCGAAAAGGTGCTCCGAAAATTATAAAAAAAATATGATAATTCTTGGAAAAATGTGTAGTTTCAGATTCCAAAGTTTGGGATTAAAATGCTAAGCGTAGAAATTAAAGTTAATACTGTGTGTTAAGTGACTTAACCGCCTATATAAGCCTTAGTGAGCACTAAACCCTAGGTGCCACTATTTTCTCTACGTGAGTGTTGCTGAGCTTGAAGTCAGCCACCCCTTTGTGAGCCAAGTTGCCACATTTTCTCCATTTCTTCTTCTCTTTGGTTGAGTAAACACTTGGGTGAGTGTATTGGGAGGTTGAGGTCCCATCTTCTGAGTTGTGGGAGCTGGTTTGAGTCAAGGTTTGGGGTTGCGTCCTTGTGTTGGTGTGGTTGGGGCTTTGTGTTGGTTGTGGGAGCTTCAAGGAGTGAACTGTTGTTTGAAAGGATCACTCTTGATCACCATTTTCGTGTGCCTTGAAGGTCAGACCTGTAGAGGCAGATTTGAGAGCTCCAAGAGCCTTTCTTCCTCTGTTTTGAGCTTTGGTGAGTTGTAACAACCTTGATCATGTGTTTGATGAGTAAAAGAAGTGTCTTGGTATGTTTAAAAGATTTGAACAAGTAACCAACAATAGTATGACCCTAAATCAGTATAAAGTTGCATACTTTAACGTAATTAAATGTTAAAAACCCAACCTTGGAAGGATATCATCACGAAATGCAGTTTCTGCATTCTGTCGTGAAATATCCGGATATCTGCCCGAGAAATATCCGGATATGTGATATCCGGATATGGGATTTGGATATCCGGATATGGGAATCTGGATATCCGGATATTGTATATTTGGATATGTACAGTGAGATATTCGGATATTGCATATCCGGATATGGTCCCGAGGAATATTCGGATATTCTGGGATTTTGAAGAACAGTAACTGTGCTGTGTGTACAGTAGGCTATTGGGGGTTTGTGGACCCTAGTTTGATGAAGTTGAACTTCTGTAATTAATGAACTAAGTCAGAATCAAGTGATTAAGAACTTATGGCTTGGTATGGAGCCTTAAGACGTAAAACGTAAAAGAAAGGCGTTATCTTTAAGTTATATGCTTGTGGTGCTTTATTATTGATATAGTATTGGTCCATATCAGATTGTGAATCTGCTGTGTTTGGACTTTGAGCTGTGGACTCTTGGCTTTGGGTGTTAGCTTGCAATGTAAGCTTTCGTGTCCTCAATTTAGCCATGTTGTGGT